TAAATCCATATCCAATATTCACATGACTATTTATGGTTGTGTTGTATACATTTCTTTTCTTGTACAACTTTTTCTTTTTCCTAGAGTTAATAAACTGCCTTGTTTGCTTTGTTTTCCCTATATCTATCACAAATTCATCCCTAAATGCTCCAGCTATAAATCTCTAATTATATATTCAAATACTTCAGGTAATTAATCTTGTACTCTTTCCTCCTTCTCTTATTTTTTTCTTTCTTGGGACATTTCTGTTAAATGTGTTTTTATTCTACCCTAGATTGGTACTCTCTAGGCTTGCTACACAGTCATCTTGATCGCTCTCCTGTCACCATCATGCCAGACATTCCCCTGGCTCTTCTGGGTTGGAACCTGTATTTCTTGGATCCCTTGTCTTCTTCCTTCTTGGTTTATTTCTCCTCTGGTGGAGCTGCATCTTTTAGGAGCTGAGAAAAATGTGAACTGATGGCAATTTTTTTTTTTTTTTGATACATTGCATGGCTGAAAATGTTTTGAGTGACACTTTGGCTGAATTACAGGTTGAGATTACCTTCCCATTAAAATTTCCAGCATCACCTGTTGACAAATCTTATCATTATTCCTTTGAATGTGACCAGTATTCTTTCTTTAGAAGATTTTAGGATCTCCTCTTTATCTCCAGTGTTCTGAAATTACATGCTGATCTTGGTATGGATTGCTTTACACTGTGCTGGGCACAGTCTGGAAACATTTCCTTCATTTCTTAGGAATATTAATATACTATTTCTTTGATATTTTTCTCCTCTCACTTTTTTGTTTTCTTTCTTTCTCCAAAAAGATATTGGGCCTCCAGTATCACTCCTTTAATTTTCTTATCTCTTTTCTCCTACTTTCCATATCTTTTAATTTATATTCCACTTCTGGTATTTATCCACTTTCTGTTCCAACTCTCCAACTGATACTGCTTTGTTTCTGCTACAGAATTTTTAATATCCAAGAACATTTTAAATTTTTGGAATGGTGTTTCTTATAAAAGCTTCTCTTCCTATTTCATGGATTTTTACCCCTTGAAGGACATTACTATTATTTCCATTTTCTTCTGTGACCTGCATTGTTTGACTTTTTTAGTCTAGTTCTTTCGGTTTTTGTCTATCACATTAGAGACTTTCTTCATGTGACTGATAATCCTTGGCTCTCTATTCATATTTAAATGTGAGGAATACTAATACAGCTAATATTTACAGAATGCTTATTAAGTGCTAAGCATTGCTCTAAACTATATACATATATTTTTCTTTTTCTTTCTTTATTTTTGGATTCTTTTAATTCTCACAACTCCATAAAGTAGTATTTCTATCCTGAGATCACACAGCTAGTGAGGTGAGAAGTCAGGATTTGAACCCTGGGAGGAGGAGGCAATAAAGCTTCCTGCCAGCTCAGTGGGGTGAGGCTGATGCCCATTTTTCAAAATGTAGACTTTTCCTGAATGCTCTGGCTTTCAGCATGAAATCTAATTTCTACCTGTGTGAACCTCGTGCCCTTGGGTCCAGAGACCCTATCAAACTCTTTACAGAGTAAAATTGGATCTAGTCTCCTGCTGGAGTAGAGTAGGAGAAGGGAGTGGCCGCATGGGTTGGGGAAAAAGAATCTAGAAGGCATGTAACAGATCCTTGTATAAACTTCCAGCCAATTCTCCAGATTTCAGCCCCATCCCAACGCTTTGTCTTTAAAAGTACCTGCTATTTCTATTTTCAGAGACCACTTGTGGTTTTACAGCAGGAACTGGTCCAACCCCTCTCGCAGGCAGGCAGTTAGATATCAGCTTTCTCTACTAAGTTACAACTCAGACATGTGCTTTTTTTTTATGCAATATTTTACTGATATTTCTTATTTTTCTGTGGTCACCTCTCCCAACTTTTCTGTAATTGTGAGTTTATGCCTTTTTAAATTCATCTTTTTTTTTTTTTTTTTTAAGAGACAGAGTCTTTCTATGTTGCTCTGGATGAAGTGCAGTACTATTGATAGGAACAGTCATAGTGCACTACAACCTCCAACTCTTGGGCTCAAACGATCCTCCCACCTCAGCCTCCTGAGTAGCTGGGACCACAGGTGTACCCCACTGTCCTTATTGCCTTTTAAAATTCTTTTACTCTCATTTTGTGGAAGAGAGCAGAGACAAATGCATGTTCAACATGCCATATTAAATCACATCCCCTTGACTACTCTGAAATAATTCAAGATGAAAAAATTCTGTTCAATGTGATATCTACTTCTGAATCCTCACATGCAAAATAATGTAACATGGTATGAATGTTTATTTTGATTACTTTAGAAGTCAGCACAAAAATATCAAATCAAGAATCTTTAGGTGGATAAACCATGTCCATTATATGAATGTAAACTATTTAATAGCCTACTATTCCAATGCATCATTTATTTATTTCCAATATAGAACACCATTTTTGAGCTTTCAAACTCACAAACAAAAAAATTCACATATATAATCTAGTCAAAACCAATATGTGAATTACATGTAGAAACATGAACTATTTAAGCCATTATGTTGTAATGGAAAACTACAGTCTAGATGAAAACTTTTCTCCATATCCTTGCTTTATACTCTGAATGACTAGCATTTTAAAAATATACTGTACCATATCACCACTTCTATTTAAATTATAGTTACAGTTTTAATACCATACTAATTTCTTTTTCACATGAAATAATACCTTTTATACTTGATCTCAAATTTTAATCAACA